GAGAGAGAGAGAGAGAGAGAGAGAGAGAGAGAGAGGGAGAGAGAGAGAGAGAGAGAGAGGGAGAGAGAGAGAGAGAGAGAGAGCAAGGGGATCGTTTGGTCACTTCACATCTGCGGGGAAGGAGCATGCGTGTAGGATGCAAAAGAAGGTAAATCCTAGGGAACACAGAGTAAGGTCCTACGATCTTGCATGCATGGACCATAGTGCAAGGGGCGTAACCCGACTCCACATGACAATCCACCATCCATGGTCACTGGACCGACAAATGAGAGGAACAGGCAAAGGAGGGGAGGGAAGGGAGGAGAAGGGAAGAAGATAGCAAGGGATGATGATAGTTAGAGAAAGTGCCATAACGACAGAGGGTAGGCAGTCATCGCAAAGCTACGATCACAAACAAGCAAGGGTGAATGCAAGAGGAAGCAGGGGGAAGGCGAGCGCAAGCAATCAGAATTCATTAAGATGGAGAAAGATAGGGACAGAAAACTGTCAAGCGAACTGCCGAAGCACTCCCAAAACAGCAAACCAAACTAATCCAAAATCCTCCCGCTTGCTGAGGCATGGAACAGAAAATCAGATGCGTCAAAACGCAAAGGGGATTCCGAAAAACCAAGTGCGTACAACTTCCAAAATTATCCTATCCTACTACAAGGCTGTAAGACATCAGAAAACAAGGGGCAAACCCGAGCACGAGCAAAACCAAAAACTACTATACAAATCCTTCTCAACCTTGATCTAAAGGATGGGCGCAGAAAATTGTGCCCTGCACGCTTTAGATTGGCACATCTTTCCGTTATGGCCGAAGGGCCACTTGCACAATATCAATTCCGCCTTTGAAAGGAGGATTGACTGACAGGTAGGTGATGTTGCCTTCTTGAATTCCTCTCAGCCCACATTGAAACGGGCTACTCGAGAAGTCTTAGATGAACAGAGTGCATGTTAAGACCCATGCAAGGACATTTTAAAGTTTGAGCACGAAAGGAGGAACAATGTTTGCAATTGCAAAAACATTTAAATGATTTCGTGGGAATCCAGTGAAAACAGGAGAGCAAATTGATCACACAATGTTATCATACTTATGACATGTTCTCTTCAAAAATTCGGACCAACTTGGAATGCATGGGGTGACACTTTGTTGATCATAGGCCAAGGAGGTATGCTGGAAGGATAGAGAACATGTGGTAGGTATGCTGGAAGGAGAGAGAACATGTGGTAATCACGCGGTTTACCAATGCCATGGAACTTTTACAAAAAATGGACATAATAACAGAGCAGATTGACATCCGGGAAGTTGCAGTCAAAAGGTTGTTTTGCCAATGTTTGGGGTAAACCAGGTAAACCAATGGCAGAAAGATGAAATCATCTTTCAGGAATGCAGGCAGCAAAAGGTATGCTCTTGCCCTTTGAAAGTGTGTCAATATTGCAACTTTTCTGCAGGCTGGTTGCTTCTGGCATCATCCAGGCCAGAAAATTCATACAATGCAGAGTAAGGGTATTGTTTTACTATTTTACATTTCTTCTTTCTTTCTGTTTTCCCAATATACTACACTCTACCCCTTACATTCTGGGTGCGCACCAGTCCAGTTGCTTATCCCTAGCAAGTGTAGACAAGACAAGAAGAAAAGAAAATAGCAAAATACAGAGCACCTGAGGTATTTCATTTTCACTAAGTGCCCTCAGATTCTAAGAAGGTCATTTACGCCTTATGATGCACGTAACATCCTGAAAACAGAGGTCAGACTCCAAGCTATGGTTTTGGCAATCCTTTTCAGTGGCTTCAGTCAGAAAAGGGATTTAGAATTTGGCCAAGCACAATGTTACTGGGAACACGTTGGGGAAAAAATGAGAGATGAGGGTTACCTGTCTCTTTGCGTAGGCAAGCAGGTCTGCAGGTGTGTACATTTTGCCTCCCTGGCAAAAAAGCACATTCTTGGGAGGTTCCGCACACGCTAGATAATCCGCATACACGACAAATACAAATGAAACAGCAGCTGCATACTGAAGAGGAACAAAATCGCCTAACCAAATCAAGCCTCCTGCACATGGTATCAAACATCATATTGTAACAATTGAAAAAAAAAGGTTAAAACCTCAAACTTTCTGGCTAGAAGAAGGAAAGTGTCCACAGCAACAACCTTCATGCTACTTATGTCAAGGGTTGTCCCTCTTTCATAAACTGCCGGCCAGATTTATCAGATGTCTTTTGTTCTAGGTTCACAGAGGTATAGAACCCTGCCTGTGGGTGAATAGTATACACCCAGAATAGGCTTTTTTTAACAGTTGGGAAATATACTGGTGGTTCAACCTCAGCAGGAAGATGCAATGACTTGCTGTTTTCTGGTCGCCTGTAGCCTCTCTCTGTCGAGGCTGTACCATAGGTAGGATAGATTCGTAATTTTGTTTGGCTGAGGGCTAACCGAGAGACCTACCTGTAGTGGAAATTCGTGAGGGACATACCTGCAAATTTGGGAAAATACAGGCCCAGCACTAACTGAATTTCCTACTGCTACCCTAACTGCGAATAGCAGGCCCGGGCTACCCCTAGGACAGACGAGCCCTAAAGACCTATGCTGATAGACGGTCCTATAGCCTATAGCCGAGTAAGGTAGAGGCGGAGAGGCCGAAACTGAATCGGTACCGGTCAGTCAGTCAGTCCGGTCTAGGTCGAGTCTAGGCTAGTTCAAGTCTATAGATAGGATGGGCACATCGGTTCAGGGCTTTTGGCAGTTGGTACCGAGTACATCGCTGCTGTGCTACACGTGAACCGGAAGTGGTGACGGCTCAGCGTGGAAGGAGACAGGCATAGCCAGACCTTCGGAGCGCCGGCCATAGCTGGGACCTGCGCTGTACTCTGCCAGCACGTAGGGGCTGTCAGAGGTCTGGGTTATCGAGGTCTGCTGGAGGCGAGAGAAGTTGGTGCCCTGCTGGACCCTCCTCCGGAGTGGGGTTCCAGGGTTGTGGTGCTGCAGCCATAGCTGCAGCTTCTTCCTCAGAGGTCATCTTGTCAGGATTTGGTGGCGCTGTTGCAGACTTCCATCCCGGAAGTCTTTCGACACTTCGTCATCATGAGATACTGTGACGCTAAGTGGTAGACATATGTGGATGTTGATAAACAGTCACGAGTTTGAGTCCCATAGAGAGTATGCAATCTAGTCCAAATATTTTGCCGCTCCGGCTAGGAGTTCTACCTTCTCTTCTTGTGCTTTTCAGTCAGTTTCTTTTCGCTGAAGTCCATTTTATGCCCGTCATGACACGTGAACAAGAGAGAAGAGAGAGAGAGGCCATGGCAACTGAAGGTTCTAGTAGTTACAACATGGCACCAGCCAAGTTTTATGAGATTAAGGCTCAAGTGGATGCAGCGGATGACGAGGATAAACCACTGTACCAGGCCCTCTGCCAGAAGGAAATGGCCAAGGAGGAGGAGGAGGAAGAGGCTAAGCAGAAAGCAGCCACTGAAGGTCTTGAGACTATCTTCAAAACAGTCTCAACCATACCTGATGCAGATGTCAAGAAAGATCTGGTCAAGTACGTACATGCCCTCATAGAGTGTCATTTGTTCAGCGAGCTTCCGAGTATAAAGTCCCAACTACTCGATGAAATGAGTCGGCTGCGTACTCAGATGGCAGATATGGCCAAGGAGCATCTTCTTCCTCTTCTTATTCTTCTTTGTTGAGTTTGGTGGCAAGCCTTTCAGGACCTGCGACAGGTGCAGATTCCACTGCCGCTACAAGTGACAGTGCAGGAAATTCTGCAACTGCTGCAGCCCTAAGATCGGACCCAGCAAATTGCAGCAATGGCTGGTCCAAAGTATAGCAGTCCATACATAGACAGAATGGTCGTGATGATCCCGTCCAGATACGATGGCAAGGAAGATGTTGAGTCCTGGATCAGCTCCATGAGAGCTTACTTTGAGGTACAGGGCACTCAAAATTGAACCAGTCCTTGATCCTAGGGACGAACGTCGAGGCTGTTGTAAGGGGCTTCCTAGAAGTCCACGCTATGCAAGCTGGGTATCCAAAGATCGATCTAACGGAGTGACTTGAAGTCACCCCGGCTGCCGCTCTCGAAGAGATACTAGTTGCGCAGTACAATGACCCACATATTGCAGCTAGAGTAAGGATCCAACTCGACGATCTTAAGCGCAACAAGTGGCAGGGCACCATGCACAAATTGCAGTTGCATGTCGGCAAACTCTTTGCGACAGCTTGGAATTGACAGCGCAATCGTGCTTAAATGTTGTCAAAGGTATAGTTCCCACCACCAATTGCCTAGGCAAGGATTCTTTTGGTTTACTGACTGGTTTTCCTTGATGAAGGATGTTGTCGGTCTCGTGGTAGGAGACCTCCTTACCACAACAAACAACAAAAAGACCTTTGTTTGCGCTTGACTTGCTGGAGGTGGAAGGGGAGGCTGAAGCGATGACCCCACTCTTGGCGACGACCAAGAACATGACGCTGATACAGCCTACTCTTCAACCCAAGAATTCGAGATCAATAACAAAGAGGAAAATTTTGGTGCCTTTAAAAAGACTGCCCATGGTAAGGGAAATCAAAACCGGAACTCAGCAAGGAACTTCGTCACACTCCCTGAGGGAGCCAACATCCCAACCAATCCGGAGGACGCAAGTACTAAACCTTGGGTCGACTTCCACATCAGTGAGGCTGAATGGAAGGCTAGATTAAAGAAAGGAGGTTGCCTGCATTGCCAGAAAACTAATCATAAGGTCCAAGGATGTTTTAGGCTGCAGGAAAACCTGAATCGGGTGTAGAGAGTTCATCAACAAACTCTACAGCAAGGGAGTTTGAACAGGTCAATAATAGTTCTCCCAAGGAACATGTCACGGTCCAGCAGTCTTCCCTTGAAGCCCCAACTTCTGCTGATTCCAAGGCTAATGATTATCATGTTTTGTATGTTGAGCCTTGGGAGGAGTAAAAGAAGGTTGACTTTCACTATCACCTAGAGCTTTGGGCTGAGATGAAACAGCAACGTGCTCAAAGGACAACGAAGTTAATCTTCTCAAACTTCTCATTAACCACCGATATCTCCGTGTCTTGATTCATTGTGGTGCCACAACTAACTTTATGTCACCACACGGGGTACGCAAAGTGGGCTTGGGGATGAAGCAAGTGGCTTTGTAGAGTCATTGCCGGACTCAAGTAGGCAACAAAGAGGTTGTTTCATCCACGCATGCAATCAAAGGTGTGCACACTACCTTTGACAAAGAGAAGACTATCACACACGCATTGAACTTCTATGTCCTTCACAAATGTCCATTCGACGCAGTCCTCGGCTTGGGCTGGTTGCAGTCCCAATGTGAATGGACCAGTGGAAGGAACCGATTTTTATGGTCAAAGATGCATAAGGGAACGAGTGTCCCGTCGTCTTGGATGAGAAGCTCGAATCCCCGGTGACTTTTCTTAATGTCATGCAATTCTGCAAGAAGTGGTGCAGGCATAGGATGAGCAGTTGTATGTTGCCTTTGTTCGTCCTACTCATGTACCTTCTACTTTTGTGGCCGGTAATAATTCTACTTTGCATAATAAGTCTACTTTTATTTGTACACCTACTTCTATTCCAAATGAGTCTACTTCAAATTCGATTGCCTTCACTAATAACTTGCGACCTGGTCTAGGTGATCCTTTTCTGATCCCCCACCCCCACTGATCCCAACAAGCATCCAAAGCCTACTCGGCCGATTTCTGGAAGTTATGGCCGAACCCCGTGGAGTCCCCACGCGATCGGTTCGACACACTCCAAAGGATTGTGTATACCGTATGGGATCCGACGAGTTGGAGGAACTCTGAAAACAGATCGATGAGATGATTGACAAGGGATGGATTAAGCCTAGCGAATCTGAATTAAGTGCACCCGTTCTGTTTGTCCCAAAGAAAGGAGCAAACTTCGTACGTGTATTGATTACCATGGTCTAAATCGCATCACAAGGAAGAATGCATACCCATTGCCACGCATAGATGATTTGCTTGATGTTGTAGGTGGGTGCAAGGTCTTCTTCAAGATCGATCTCATGTCTGGGTACCACTAGATTGAAGTCGGTTCTGCAGCCAGCACAAGACTGCGTTCACGACACACGACGGGCTTTACAAATTCGCCATAATGCCCTTCGGTCTCGCGAATGATCTGGCCACCTTTCAAAGTCTTATGGACAAGCTCCTCCGTGAACAGATTGGTCGGTTTGTGGTTGTGTATCTTGATAACATTCTGATTTTCAGCAAATCAATTAAGGAACATATGAAGCACCTTGAGAAAGTGTTCACCATCCTCAAGAAAACCTCCTCCTCAACTTAGAGAAATATGAGTTTGGGAGGGAGAACGTCATCTATTTTGGACACTGGTTGTCTGCTGCAGGCCTTGAGCCTGAGGCAACCAAGGTTGAGGTCATAAGCAAGTGGCCTCAACCAGTGAACGTCCGCGAATTGCATTATTTTTTTGGACTTGCATCATACTATCGAAAGTTTGTGCCCCGATTTTCTATTGTTTCTCGCTCGTTGTCCAAACTAACAAGCAAAAACGTATCTTACACATGAGATGCAACATGTGAGACCACTTTTCAAGCCTTTTGTGTGTAGCTTGATAACATTCTGATTTTCAGCAAATCAATTGGGGAACATATGAAGCACCTCGAGGAAGTGTTCACCATCCTCAAGAAAACGCAACTCCACCTCAACTTAGAGAAATATGAGTTTGGGAGGGAGAACATCATCTATTTTGGGCACTGGTTGAATGTTGCAGGCCTTGAGCCTGAGGCAACCAAGGTTGAGGTCATACACAAGTGGCCTCAACCCGTGAATGTCCGCGAATTGCATTCTTTTCTTGGTCTTGCATCATACTATCGAAAGTTTGTGCCCCGATTTTCTATTGTTTCTCGCTCGTTGTCCAAACTAACAAGCAAAAACGTACCTTACACATGGGATGCAACATGTGAAACCACTTTTCAAGCCTTGAAAGAGGCTTTGGTAAGTTATTTTGTGCTCCGCATTGCAGATTTCAAACTCACATTCGTAATCACCACGGATGC